CATCCCTTCGAGTGTCGTAGGGTAGGTTATAGTGTATGTGTGCATATATGTATATTTATTGATTTATTTTATGTATGTATTTGTTTGTTTTTTTATGTACCTGTTTATTTATTTATATAAATTCAGGCTATGAGGGAATGCTGTTTCTAACCGTTCCGACCTCTCTATGAGTAGTTCTCTATAATTAATAGGGTCCCTGTTGAGGGTTCTCTTTTCTAAGGGTGTCCTTACTTTCTGGGGACCCTAAAAGGGACACTGATTTAGAGAACTACCCATACGGTTGATGGTACCTGCATTAGCCATAGACGGGGATATACCATAATTCCCATAGTTTAGGGTCCTTAAACCCCTAAACCCTAAACCCTAAGCCCTTAAGGTAATGCAGGATATATATATATATGTATATATCATCATCATCAACCGTATTAGAGTTACTGGACTACGGAGGCTCTTGAGGATTACTTCTCTCTTTGGGTGGGCCTTTTGTGGCGGGTCCTTGGGGCCAAAGGATGTGGGGATGGAGTTTTGGGGTTCAGGATTCAGGGCTTAGGGATTGTGATTAGGGTTGAGGGTTGAGGGCACAATAGGTCTCCAAGGCCCTGCTGTTTTGTATAGCCTCGAGGGTTCAGGTTTATGGAATTCCTTTGTAGAAGCCTCGTAAACACCCTTTAGAGGCGCATAAACCCTATACAAACCGCTTTGAAGCACTTGCGACCTCCTATAAGTAAAACATTCTCATATCCTTGAGAACAACACCCCCCCCCCAGCCACGGTTTAGAGTTTAGGGTTTAGGGGTTAGGCAGCCTGCCACCCCAGAGGAGCCGACACCGTCGCCCACAACTGCCACAGACATCGTCCCCTAAACCTTACCTTAACGCCAAAAAGCCTGCCCTTTTGAAGGGCTTACATGAAGAAATCATGATAATGAGCCCTAAAAAGGTGGTTTCTTTAGGGTTCAGGTAAACCCTAATCACCTCAAAACAGCGGTGCCCCCCAAATCGTGGGTGCTTACAAAGTTCAGCGTTCTCGGGCTTACCTGCGGCCCAAAGACCTCCCTTCTTAAGGAACTACCTACAGTCTCCGTTGTAGTTGTTTTTTTGGCTTAACCATCTATATGTTTAGGATCCTACAAGGTAACTCCAGGAAGGAACTACGATGGAGGCTATAGGTAAATATAAAAGCCATACTAAGGAACTCTAAAAAGGTACGTCTTTTCGGCTACAGGTGCACTTCAAGCCCCCTGTAGGTCCTCCTGTGAGTTCCAAGCCTTGAGCCCGAAAAGCCGTCGAAAGCCATAGGAAAACAACAGAATTATGAGCCAAATTAGGGGCCCCCGAAAATCACCGAAGCATGAACTAAGTAATATGCCTAAAAGGAGGGCGGACTTCAATAGCTTCAGTTTGGCTGTTTTTTCGGGTCACAAATAAACATATATGTTACGAACTACAGCTATATAATCAAAGATTCTCTGCCTTCGAGCATGTGTCGAGGTGTGAGCATGCAAAGGTGGAGGTTCCAAGAAACAATCGGCACCACAGCCAACTAGTAGCTATGGTCCTCACGAGTGGAAACTATTCTCGCACTAGGCGTCCTGTTCTACGTCATAACTCCCCAATCGCACTCACCCTCCGTCTTCGCAAATTCGAGCGACTTGCCCCCATCGGCATCGCACCATCCGTTGGGACGATTGCACTTTTCAGGTGCCGTGGCCTTTCCAAGCGGTGGGGCGGGGGGGGGGGGGGTTGAGTCTCAAA